GAGGAATTGCAGAGGACTTAGGTATGGTTTCATCAGCAATAGTCTTTAGTGTATCAGAGAATAACTGGATTGGATCTAGAGCATTGCACAAAAATTCAGATTTCAAGTTGTCAGTACACAGTGTTTGAAATAAAGGCCAGTTGGCCTTTCTAAAATCCACCTTGTGGCAGGTGGATCAACAGTCGGGTTAATAGCTGAAAGTATTGTGGGGAAATGGTCACTTCCACACAGGTCAACGTGGACTGACCATTCAAATTCGTTATAAATATTGGGATCTGTAAGAGACAGATCAAGTGCAGAATAAGTTCCAAATCCAGGATGTAAGTAAGTGGCTGATCCATCATTAAATATACATAAGTTATTATTAGAAATAAAATCTTCCAAGAGCTTCCCCTTTGTATTAGTCTGAGAACTACCCCAAAGAGGATTGTGTCCATTTAAATCGCCCATGATAATACAGGGCTTGGGGAGTTGGTCATAGAGAGCTTGAAGTTCAGACTGTTGGAGAGACGAGGACGGTGGAAGATACAGAGAACACAATGTAATAACAACGTGCAAAGTTACACGGACAGCAACAGCTTGACGGGGAGTAGTAAGAGGGACAGGGCTATGGGTGACACCACGTTTCATCAGGATTGAAGAACCTCCAGTAGCTTTAGCTCCAGGAGGTGAAAAGACATTATAAGAAGTATACCCCCTCACATCAAATTTGTCAGTGTCTCTATAGTATGTTTCTTGTAAGCAGATAGCCGATGGTTTAAAATCTTGAATTAAGAGTTGTAAATCATTAAAATTGTTCCTAAGACCTCTACAATTCCACTGTACTAATGTATGGTTAGACATTATGGTGGAGTTATAGGAGACCGCTCACGGTCTTTTTTCTTTGGAGAATGACTCCGGGAGCGGGTGCTCTGAGGAGAGGAAATATCCATGTCCTCAAACACCCCAAACTTATTGAACAGAGAAACAGTATTTTTCTGTGCTTTGGGTTCACGATCAGAACGCTGAGTTTGCTTCGAATAATTGACATTTGCATTGGGTTTCTTTCCTTTAGAAGGCTGAATCGTTGTTTGTGAAGCAGATGTCCGATGAGACGGTTTTTCTGGGATTTTGGCAGAAAGTAATACTGGAGCAGAGGATTCAGTCCATGTGAAGTCCGTCTGACAACCTACTGAATGGACTGAAATTATTCTAGAAGCTGTATTAGGAGCTGGAGAACAAATGGAAACAGCAGCAGCATACGATGGCCCTGGTGTTTCTTGGGCGAGAACAATCTTTTTTGCATCTTGGAAAGAGATGTTGCTTTCATGCTTGACTCGGGAAATTTTGGATTGTTGTTTCCACGCTGGGCAATCTTTGGATGAAGAAGGATGATTGCCAGAACAGTTGACACAAGAAGGGGATTTGTCACATAATGCGCTGTCTGCACATGTTCCACCACATCTATGGCAGGCAGCTGGGTTGCGGCATGATCGAGAGCCATGTCCATACTTTTGACAACAGGAGCACCTTAGAGGATTTGGAATAAAGGCATCGACCCTTAAACGACAATAACCTGCTTTGAGTGAGTCGGGACGTGTTGGAACACCAAATGTGAATAAGTAGGTATTAGTTTTTGTGATTTCATTGTCTTTCTTGTTAGTAAATCGTTTTACATCAAGAACACCTTGTGAATGTAGTTCTGAAATTATATCACATACATCCATATCTGACAGGCATCGCCCAACATCGCGGACAATCCCTTTACAGGTGTTTAAAGTTCTATGAGGTGAAACCTCAACAGAAACGTTGGCCAGTGATTTCGTTGAAAGTAGAATTTGAGACTGGATTTGCTTTTTGCATTCGATAAGCAGATGTCCCGATCGAAGCTTTTTAACCTCTTGTACTTCACCAGCTAAGCCTTCAATGCCCTTTGCGATGGCAAAGGGATTTAGAATTGAGAGGACTGCCATCAGGGGAACACATAACAAGAAATCGTGCCCAATGATCAATGTTGTTTTGAGATAATACAATATCATCATCTGAAGAGCACGAATCATCAGATTCGTGCGAACGGTTTTTTTTGTGGGGGTGCCATGGTTATATCAAATATGATTCACCCTCCCAGCTCCCCACCCACCATGGAGTGTCTACAGGGACGATGCCTTAAGTCTGTGGGTCTCCAGCAGACGGCACCAAGGATACTAGGAGGGTATACTCAAGCAGGAATATATCTTGAAAAGTATATGTCCTACCGGATTGGCCCATGAGCCACCGCCTTCTGGCACCAGCATCTAGGCAATTTTTCAAATTTGAAAATCTATTTATCATATAACATAGAGAAACGAACAAGTCAGTAATGTTTCCAAAAACCAAGCCAAATAATAATAGAGCAATGAAATTTTAGTGCTCAGGGCTCGGCATGACCAGCCGATTGGTTGAACCGGGCCCATTCAACCACCCGTCTAGGTGAAGTAAGGGGCGAAGTGGTGTGTTGGGCAAAGGAACACTGTTCCTGGAACCAGTGCCCTCAACCACCAGCCTCCCGTCCTCGACCGACACAGGGGCGCAACCCACGGCAAACGGGTTGGTGGACCAAATATCCCCCCGGGTCCACAACGGGGGGTTGAAGGGCGCTTGGCGTTACCCAGCACCCACCACGAGGAGGTGGCCCTTCATGGGTGCCTCTGATTTTTTAAATGTAGTTAATGTTAGATCAACTTGTGGCCTAACCAATTGCCAAGGCGGAGAAGAAAGAAAACGGGAAGGAGCTATATGTTCTAGCTCAATGCCAGCAGCAGAAAGGAAAGGTTTCACTCTTATACCAAGAGGCGGAACAAGAGAAGGCTTCTTGTTATACAGATCTTCATATAGTGGATTAAAGACACAGTTATATGCAGGGTTTGACTCATTGGAATAAAGTTTTGTAATATACTGTAAAGTTAATTTTATACGGCGTTGTGTAAGGGATGGCTCATCAGCCTCGACGTAAAGGCTGTCAACAGGTGAAGTTCTAAAGGAACCAAGACATAGTCTTAGACCTTGGTGGTGGACAGAATCCAAAAGTTTTAGATTACTGTTGCAGGCTCCACCATAAACGATGGAGCCATAATCAAGTTTGGAACGTACCAATGATCGATATAATTGTAGGAGGGTAGCTTGATCCCCTCCCCACTTAGAATTGGAAACGACTTTCAACAAGTCAAGTGCCTTCAAGCATTTAGTCTTTAGGGACTTGATATGGGGAAGAAAAGTTAGATGCGAGGCAAAAATTAAACCCAAGAACATGGCCTCCTTTACAACTTTGATGGGAATGCCATTGAGGAACAGTTCCGGGTCTTTATGCGGTTTATATTTTCTACAAAAATGTATACAATTAGTTTTGGATTTAGAAAATTTAAAGCCGTTTTCAAGACACCATTTATCTATTTTATTTAAACACAGCTGCATTTGCCGTTCAATAGTATGCATATTCTTACCGCGACAAGAAATATTAAAATCATCCACAAAAAGTGATCCATCAATAGAATCATTTAAAACCTTTGATAAACTGTTAATCTTGATGCTAAAGAGTGTTACAGACAAAATACTGCCTTGCGGGACTCCGTGATCCTGATTATAATGGTCAGACAGGGTTGAACCCACTCGGACTTGAAATTGCCTGTTATGTAAAAAGTTGGATATAAAGTGAGGCAAACGGCCTCGTAATCCAAAGTCATGTAAATCTTTTAAAATCCCATGTTTCCATGTTGTGTCGTATGCTTTTTTCTAAATCGAAAAAGATCGACACTGCATGTTGTTTATTAATAATGGCATTTTTCACAAAAGATTCTAAGCGCACTAAATGATCGATGGTACTACGGTTTTTACGGAAACCACATTGTATATTAGTTATAAGGTTATTGGTTTCCAAGTACCAAACAAGTCGATTATTTATCATGCGTTCCATGGTCTTGCAAACACAGCTAGTTAATGAAATTGGCCTATAATTGGAAGGATCAGTATGATCACGTCCAGGTTTAGGGACGGGCACAATTATAGCATCGCGCCACGACGAAGGAAATTGTCCAGATGTCCAAATGTCATCAAAAATAGATAGGAGCGTCTCTAAACATGATTCAGGCAAGTGCTTCAGGAGTTGATAATGTATACTATCAGCTCCTGAAGCAGTATCGTGAGCTTGGTCAAGAGCAGTATGAAGCTTATGTATCGAAAAGGTTTCATTGTAGTCTTCCCCATTGTCTGAATTGAAATTAATAGATTTCTTTTCCTGCTGTCTTTGATATTTCTGGAATTCAGGTACATAGTTAGATGAGGAAGAATGTTTGGCCAAAGTTTCTCCAAGTTTATTTGCTATGTCAGATTTATCAGTTAATAATTCATCTCAACTTTTTAGATGCTTAATGCTAGATTTAGAGCCCTTACCTTTTATTTTCTGAATCATGTTCCACACCTTTGATATCGGCGTGCGCGAATTGATGTTTGCTACATAATTTCGCCAAGATTGGTGTTTATTTTGTTTAAAAGTACGCCGTGCTTTGGCGTTTAAAATTCTAAATTTGTTTAAATTGTGGACCATAGGATGACAACGGAAATAATGTTCAGCTTTCTTCCGTGCCTTGCGAGCTTGTTTGCATTCAGCGTTAAACCATGGTTTACGTACATGAGGAACTGCAGAGGATTTGGGGATACACTTGTCAGCTATGTGTCTGAGCTCATCTGAAAAACATTTGATGGTATCAGGAAGATCACGAAAAAGTTCGGGTTTCAGTTTGTCAGTACAGAAAGTTTCATATAAAAGCCAGTTAGCCTTCTTAAAGTTCCATCTTGATGATGGAGGAACATCAGATGGATTCACGGGTTTTAGTATTGTTGGGAAATGGTCACTTCCACACAGGCCGTCGTGGACTGACCACTCGAATTCATTAAATAAGTCTGGGTCAGTAATTGATAAATCAAGAGCTGAATAAGTTCCTGTGCCAGGATGTAAATATGTGCTAGAACCGTCATTATATATGCATAAATCATTGTCTGAACAAAACTCTTCTAATAGTTTACCTTTAGCATTAGTAGTTGTACCACCCCAGAGCAGGTTGTAGCCATTTAAATCTCCCATAATGATATAAGGTTTTGGGAGTTGGTCATATAAATATTGAAGGTCAGTCTTCTGAAGAGTTGAAGACGGTGAGATGTACAAAGAGCATAATGTGAACGCAACATGTAACGTCAGTCGTACGGCAACCGCCTGGAGATCAGTAGTAAGTATAACAGGGCTATGGATAACATTTTGCTCGATAAGGATCGAAGATCCTCCAGTGGCCCGATCACCTGGAGGTGAAAAGGAATGGTATGCATTGAAATGACGTAAATCGAATGTATCCGTCTGTTTTAAATATGTCTCCTGGAGACAAATGGCTGATGGTGTGAAGTCCTGGACTAATAGCTGCAAATCATTGAAATTATTCCTTAGTCCTATTAATCTTGTACAGTGGAACTGCAGAGAAGACATTATCTTTTGGGGGGATTTATTGGGGATCTACCCCGCACTTGTTTTGAGGGCGACAAGCTATGTGCCCTAGAATGGACGTTTTCAGATACGTCCATGTCCTCAAGAGATCCATATTTGTTGAACAACTGAATTTTATTTTGCGACCCCTTTGGAGCTCTGCCGCTTTGTTTCTTGTTAGCATCAGGCTTAGGCTTACCTTTACTTTGAACAATTTGTTGATTGTCAGATGACGATTGAGTGAGTGAGCGTGATTGAGAGGAAGATTTATGATCAGAAGAAGATTTTGACGTACCAGGAAGTGATTCCTCAGTCTGAGACGATATCTCAGGGTACAAATTCTGTGGAGAGTCCCCTCTGACCCAAGTCAAGGTTGTTTGGCAGCTAGTGGATGATTTTGTTATTTTAGAGCTAGACTCAGATGGTGTTTTGGCTACTGCAGCATAACTCTCTGGAAGGTCGGATCTCTTTACCAGTTTTTTTGCCTCAGAAAAAGTGATATTTTGGGTAAATTTGATTTTGTTATTTGCCATTTGCTCTTTCCAAATGGGACACTCTTTAGAAAAAGCTGAATGGTCGCCCGAGCAGTTGGTGCATTTTTTAAAAGTACTGTTACAATCTTCTGTTGTGTGTGTCTTCTCACCACAGTGAGCACACACAACATACAATGTACAAGTATTTACACCGTGTCCATATTTCTGGCATTTAAAACACCTGAGTGGGTTAGGGATGTATGTGTCAACGGGAATGTTACAGTAACCTGCCTTCAGCGATTTGGGAGCATTTGGAGATGAAAAGGAAAACAGATAGGTATTCGTTCTGAAAGTTTCATTGTTTTTTCGGGTTGTAAAGCGCTTAACGTAAAGAACACCTTGATCTTTCATTTCTGATACTATGTCAAGTTCTGACATATCATCAAACAATCTATCCCGGTCTCTGACGATTCCTTTACTTGTGTTCAAAGTTTTGTAAGCAGAGACCGAGACCTGAATGCCAACGAACAATTCTGTATTCATCAAGTTGGTTGCTTGCGGTTTTTTCGCACATTCAACTAGCAGCGGAGACGTTTAATGTTCTTTACATCCCGAGCAATACCTTGAATACCCTTAGATACTGCTAAAGGGTTCAACTTTAATGGACTCTTGTCTCGATTACAAGGAAACGTGGCCAATACTCAATCGATTTAGGCAGTCTGTGGTCATCATCAACAGGGTCATTGTCAAGAGGACGTTTGGTTTTTTTGTTGGTGTTTCGTAAGCCATGGTTATTGTGTTAGATTTCATCATCCGAGCTCCCCACCCACCATGGAGTATCACAAGGACGATGCTAAAAACAAGCGGATCTCCGACTTGCAGCACCAAGGATACCCGGATGACATACTCCAGCAGCAAAATTAAAAGATTAATGAATCCACCAGATTGGCCCATGAGCCACCGCCTTCTGGGCATACGACTCTAGGCAAAAACATACATGAAATTGTGCAGTTGAAATTCAAAAATTCAAAGTTCAAAAATTGCCAAGACTTAAAAATATCATATAATAATTCTCAAATTTTGTGCAACATTTTACAGTTGTAGCACAGGGCTTGGCGTGACCAGCCGATTGATTGAACCGGGCCAGTTCAACCACCCGTCTAGGTGAAGTAAGGGGCGAAGTGGTGTGTGGGGCAAAGGAACACTGTTCCTGGAACCAGTGCCCTCAACCACCAGCCTCCCGTCCTCGACCGACACAGGGGCGCAACCCACGGCAAACGGGTTGGTGGACCAAATATCCCCCCGGGTCCACAACGGGGGGTTGAAGGGCGCTTAGCGTGACCCAGCACCCACCACGAGGAGGTGGCCCTTCATGGGTGCCTGTTACTCCAGATGACAAATGGAACAACATTTTAACAACATTCCACGGGGTTCTAAATTTCAACTTTAAGGATAGGTTTTTATCCATTTATGGTAAATCCACTATCTGCAATGTCATGGCCATGTCAAAGTTGTGGTAAGTCGCAGCTGTATTGCACATGCCCAAGCACTTTGTTGATATTTTCACACGGGTATCAATTGATTTTTTCTGGGAATCCCATCTATTTGAACCATTAGCTAGAAGTGTTTCATATAACAATAAAGAATTTGGAGGTGTCAGTTTTCCTCATATACCTACTCGCCTTCATGATTTACGTTTGTACCATCGTCATCAAATTATTAATAATAGTCAGTGTAAGTATGCTAGTTTTGCTTTGTATTGGATTTGTTTTTCACTTAAAGAAATTAATGCTGAATTTGCTTCTTATTTAATGCCTCATTCCGATGATATACCACCATATAATCAAACGTTTTTAGAATCCTATAGATATTTCAATTGATTGTTTCCCAATTCACCTGTAAACAGTTTTGTATTTTATCAATGTTAGTTACCAATATATTTGCAGAGCCTGTCTTCTTCAAACATTTTCCTGGTGTACTTTCTAAATCTGCCTTTTTATTGCTCAACGACTCATTTCCTGACCCCCTTCTAAAAAAATTTTCATGGCGCCTCCTTGACAACATTGTCCCCACTAACTTTAACCTTTACTGTAGACGCCATACCCTTATTAAAAAAAGTACTTTCTGTAATGAAAACGAGTCTGTTGTGGAAATGCTCAGGGAATATGTGGAAGTAGAAGGTTTTAAGGATATTCTGTGGAGTTTGGTTTTACGCCGCTTTTAGCAATATTCCAGCAACATCACGGCGGGGGACACCGGAAATGGGCTTCACACAATGTTCCCATGTGGGGATTCGAACCTGGGTCTTCGGCGTGACGAGCCAACGCTTTAACCACTAGGCTACCCCACCATCCCGATATTCTGTGGAGTCCGAATCATTAGAATGGAATTAAGTGAACAAGAAAAGGAAAACGTTCCACGCATAATACGGTTTGGAGATAAGACGTCAATACTGATAACAGTACCTGATATGTTTGAGGTGTCATGGTTTCGGACATGTGCAAGCGAAGCGTCCTGGTCCATCACAGGTTGTGTCTACAGAGCAAGTTGTTTCAACCAATTCAGACAAGAACACACGGATGGATAATTACAGTGATTCAGATGATGACGAGTACATAGAGAGTGTGAAAAGTCTGAAGAACAGACTCAGGAAAGCATCAGGAGGGAGTGAGTGAGTGAGTTAAAACATTCACGTCACATCTGCAATATTTCAGCCATATAGTGACGAGAAAAGGTTGACATACACATTAATTACAAATAGTTAAATAGCAAGTCATCAAAGGACTGTAAAATATCTAGAGTATCACAGATGGTGTTTAAAACTATCTGGTAAATGTTAAAATAATGTAATACAATAACTGGGAATTAACTTTATATAAACCAACAAAAAAAAGCTGTGGGCCCGGGGCGAGACCTTTCCATTTCACATCGGCTTGGTTGCCCCCTGCGATCGTCCCAAATGTGGACGACTCGGGTGCGCTATTTATAAGTGTAGGGGACTTCGTTGAAGTGAACGACAGTGACCTAGATTCTAATGTGAAGGGGTTAAAAGGACAAACACCAGCACAGCTGAGGATGTGTAAAAGGAGACCAGTAAACATGTTGTCATTCCTCAGTACATTGTAAGGGAGTTCATGGTTCCACTGATATAATATTGAACTTTTGTGAAGTGATTTTCGGATGGTTCCAGTGATATATTATTGAACTTTTGTGAAGTGACTTTCAGACAAATAACTGTTTTATTGTAATAATGTTCTCTTCTCCTACTTAGACATATTATGTTAGGGGCCATCACCCCACATCTGTGATATTTCTCTTGGGGTGATGGCCAATGCACTGTCTGCGCTTGTAATAAGATAATGGAATAAACTTTATTTAAAAAAACATAAACAACAAAAACAAGGCTGTTGGCCGGAGGCGAGACCTTCCATTGCACGTCCGCTTGGTTGAACCCTGCGATCTTCCCAATTGTGGACGACTCAGGTCCGCAATTTATAAGGGTGGGACTGCGTTTGCGCTCTCCCATTGAAAAACAAACCACTTCACTTTGCCTTAGTGAACAAAGTACGTGCTCCCGGAGGAATATGGCTGTGATTTCTTGGGAAGGTTCTTTGCAGACTATGGAGTTGTGTTGGATGTAAAGGAAGAAATCAGTATGGAGGAATTCGATGCCGGATGCCTCGTGGGGATATATCGGGTGGTCATTGAGATGACCTTACAGGAAGTAACCTCTATTCCGCACATTCAGTCAAGGAATGGTGGTTGTCAGCTTCTTTTCACCATGTCAGGGAGGGCGCCTCTGTGTCTACGGGGTATGGAGGTGGGTCATGTTCGCCGAGAATGTTCAGGAACAAGAAGGATTATAGAGCGTCCTACCCATATAAGGAAGAAGAGTTATGCTGAGGGATCACCTGGATATAGGGATGCAGAAGAAAACCCGGGGGAAAGAAGCCCCACCTGAAGGAGCTGTCCCTAAACAGACAGTACCAGAGAACACCACTAATACTCCAGACGCTGCCATAGTTATACTAGAGGACAGTACTGATATACCA